GCAGGGTTGGGTTTTTGTTTTTGGGGGGGGGGGGGTTCACACACTGTGTTTAAATTTCTGCAAGCTCAGCATTTTGTTTGACACCACCAGGCAGACACCCGTGGCATCACACACTGCCCTGTGCTGAGTTCCTGGTTTGGCCACATTATTTCTGACTACAAATTTTTTTTTTCTTCTTTTTTCCTTCTGATTTTACCATTTTCCTTTTTATCCAGGTGACAGAAAAGCCCATTCTTCCCCCACCCAACCAGGCAAAGCCTCCCCTTCCCCTACCCCATGGTGGGTATAAAACCCGGTGCCACAGCTGGTGTGACCAGCTCCAACATTCCCATTTCTAATTAAATTATCACTGGGGAATAAAAACCACCCCCAAAACTCCACTGGTGGCTGCCGGGGACCTAAAGACCATTCATCTCCCTGGGGACCTGAGCCAGGATGAGCTGGGGACAGGGTGGGAAGAGGAGTGAACCGTAGAAGAAGCTTTGCTTGCCCGTGTTTTGGGATGTCATGGCCCAACAGAGGAGACTTCACGCAGCTTCTCTGGGTTTCCCTCTTGAAAATACACCTTCAAATCCTACCTGAGGGACCTCGCAGCATTTTATACCAGTTTAGGGGTTTTTTTCCATGCCAAACCAGTCCCACAGTGATGATTTCTACTTGCCCAGCCCATCTTCTGCCTCCTGCTGGTGCAGAAGCCCAGAGCAAAGCCCCCCGAGGTCAGCACTTGTGGCGAACCAGCACCTCACTGGGGGGGGTTGGAGGTACCAATGTCCCCAATGGGGGAAGGAAGGGGTTAATTTTTAACTATTTTTCTTTTTAAAATGGCCTTTTGGACCTGTGGGACCAAAAGATCTTTCCTTTCAGAGGACCCCCCCCCAGAACTCGGTGGCTGATGGAGCTGCCAGGCTTTGGTGACAAGATAAAAGACACACCTTGGCCAGACTGGGGGGGGTGGCACCTGGCTACAACGTGGGATTGATAGATTTAACACAGACTGGAAGGGACGCCCATATTGCTTTAATTAGATGCTGAGGAGGCTTGACCTAAACGAGGTTCTGGTTGCCCCTGGGCAAGCAGGACCCTGGCCACCCGGCGTCCCAGGGCTGTACTGGGTGCCCTGCCCCAGCGAGAGGCTGGGGACACCAAATACGCCTCCCAGGCTCTGCTTTCAGCTCACTCAACCCGATACAGGGTGTTTTTGCCCAAAACACAACTCTGCCAGCAGCACAGAGAGGCCTGGCCAAGCACGGGGGGCTCCTTGCCTGCTGGGACAGTAGCCCTCCCTGCGTGAGGGCTGGGGCTACAAAATAAACCGGTGTTTCGGTTGGAGCTCTCAGCACAACATGAAAATCCCCAAACAGAACCCAGACAAAAATCCCCACCGTAACAAACACACACACACACATACACCCCCAAAATCTCTCCCCTCCACTTGGCTTCCAGCTCCACCTGAAGCTCAGTGCCCACATTTAACCCCCTTTCCCGGGCATCTGGATCACCGGGATCAACCAGAGCTCACCCTCCGGAGCAGGGCCAGGATGCAGCCCCCACCCAGAGTCCTGGTAGCCCCCCCCCAGAATCCACAAGCCCAAAGGCAGCAACGCAGCCGAAACGCAGGGCTGGGACTGAGATGCTTTTCCCCAGGAGCTCATGGTTGCCCCTGAGGGCCCTGTGGAAGCCAAGTGGACTTGCATGCCGGGGAGATGGGGGAATGAGAGCCACTTACCTCATTTGTGCTTCCCTGGGGAGAGGCATTGGGAAAAAAAAGGGGGAGAAAGAGAAAAAAAAGCATCTCTGTGTATCACGCACGTCCATGGGAGCGCACAGTGTCACACCACTTCCTGGGGCCAACAGGGCAGTGTCCTCACCCAGCACAGGCTGTCCCTCTTGCAGGACCCCTCATGGCTCCGTTCACGCCTCCTGCAGTTAGTGCCACCACCACTGGT